GTCGGTTCCGACTCATAGCTTGAGAACAAATATAATTGAGGATTTGGCTTTAACTGAATTTTCATGGAATGTGTTCCTTTTATCTGTTTCAAAGAATGTCTAATTCTCAAGTATCTTATCAGTTATAGATACTGTCAGTGTTTCCCTCTAAGATCTCTTTTCTTAAGGAAGACAGATATCCCAGTCCTTTCTGTTGGGTTATAGCTCTCTCTCTCTCTCTCTTTTTTTAACTTTTGATTGAGAACTGAGTGAGGGTTTACAGAGAAGAGCAACAGTTTTACACTCAGCAAATCATATCCTTCATTTCATTTCAATTATTGCAATCTCCTCAATGTAATGTCTGTTATTCAACTTCTTCCCTGTGATTCTTGCTTCCATTCTACTTTGTTTCCCAGCCCTTCTGAATTTGGTCCTTAGGTAAATGCTGCCCTTTCAATCTTGAATGGTTGATCTTTCCATGGTGTACATACCTCACTAGTGTTGTTGTCCCTACTATATACCCACCTACTGCTTAACTGAACACTGAACCACAAGGGTGACTCCAGTTCTAGACATGAAGGGTAACCGAGGGCCATAGTCTCAAGTCCCACCAGTCTCTTTCTGACTAGTAAGCCTGGTCCCAATCAAGCTAGGACCTTCTAATGTGATCTCTTTCAGAATAGTGGGTAATGGTTAGCCAGGCACCATCTAGTCCTTCTAGTCTCAAATCAGGGCTGTGTGACTAATTTTCATGTGTTCCATTAGTACATTGGACTAATTGATTCCAAGCGTCTTCAATTATCATCTTTCTTCTTTCCTCTGAACAGGGTGAGACCAATAGTTGCACCTTAGGTGGCCACTCATGATCTGTTAAGAGCCCACTAACTACTACAAAAGTAGGGTGCAGAACATTGTCTTCGTGGACTATGTATGTAAAGCCAACTGTCTTTTGGGTTATATCTTGAATGTCTGAGACCATGGAGTATGCACACTCAGCAGCCAACCCAGGGATTCCTTGAAAATCTGGACTAACTTTGGACTTTTTAGATGAGTTAGTGAAAATTAAAATAAGTATGTATAGCTATTATATTGCAATATCTTCTAGAATCTCAGAAGCAACCCTCTGCAGTTTAATTTAGACAGCTCATAGGCCATCCCAGGTTGTTGGGCTTATTCTGAGATGGCCTGAAGTTTTCAAATATCCTTTGGGAGAGCCCGCCTTTCTGGGACTTCTTTTTTAAGAATGAATGAAAATAGTATTGATTGGGCACTTACTATGTCCTAGAAAATAAATTCTGTAAGTCCTTACAAATTTTTTCTCACTTAAACCTACTAACTCCTTGAAGGAAGCTTGGAGTGCTGTGGTTAGGCACTCGGCTGCTAACCCAAAGGTTGGAGGTTTGAACCCATTAGTCATTCTGAGGGAGAAAAATATGGAAGTCTGCTTCTATAAAGATTTGAAGCTTTGGAAACCCTATAAAAATTAAACCAAACCTATTGCCACAGAGTCAAGTCTCCTGCAGAGCAGCTGGTGGATTTGAACTGCCGACCTTGTGGTTAACAGCCCAATGTGTAATCCCATAATGTGGTAAAGGCAGAATCAACTCAAAGGCAACAGGTTTGGGTTTTGGTAATAACTTTTGGAGGGGGATCATGTTTTACTGATGGAGGAATCAGATTTAGAAGTTTTAAGTAACTGCCAGTGATGAAATTTGAAAGTTACTATCTGGCCAACTGATTGGAAGAGATTCATATTTGTGCCCATTCCAAAGAGAGGTGGCCCAACAGAATGTGGAAATCATTGGACAATATCTTTGATATCTCATGAGAGTAAAGTTTTACTCAAGGTAATACAGAAATGGCTGCAACCATAAACTGACAGAGAACTTCGAGAGGTTCAAGTCAGATTCAGAAGAGGATGTAGAACAAGGCATATCATTGCTGACATCAGATGGATTATGACTGAAAGCAGAGAATACCAGAAAGATGTTTACCTGTGCTTTATTGACTATGCAAAGGCCTTCTATTGTGTGGATCATGACAAGCTATGGACAACATTGTGAAGTATGAGTATTCTGGAACACTTAACTGTACTTATGAGGAACCTACACATAAACCAAGAGGTAATTGTTTGAACAGAACATGGAACACTGAATGTTTTAAAATTAGGAAAGGTGTGTGACAGGGTTTTGTCCTTTCACCATACTTATTCAACTTTTATGCTGAGCAAATAATCTGAGAACCTGGGTTATATGAAGAAAAACATGGCATCAGGATTAGAGGAAGACTCATTAATAACCTGCAATATGCAAATGATGCAACCTTGCTTTCTGAACGTGAAGAAGATCAAAGCCCATAGCATTTGGTATGGATTGCATCTCAATGTAAAGAAAACAAAAATCCTCACCACTGGACCAATAAACAACATTCTTATCAATGGAGAAAAGAGACTGAAGTTGTCAAAGACTTCATTTTTCTTGGATCAACCATCAACACTTAATGGAAGCAGCAGGTGTGCATTAGACAAATCTGTTGCACAAGACATTTTTTTTAAGTGTTAAAGAGCAAAGATGTCAGCTTGAGGACTAACGTGCGCCTGACCCAAGCCATGGTATTTTCAATAATGGCTTGCGAAAGCAAGACAGTGAATAAGGAAGACCATAGAAGAATTGATGCATTTGAGTTATGGTGTTGGAGGAGAATATTGAAAGTGCCATGGGCTATCAGAAGAACAAACAAATCTGTGTTGGAAGAAGTACAGCCAGAGTGCTCCTTGGAGGCCAAGATGGCCAAACTTCATCTCTCATATTTGAGACATATTGTCAGGAGGGACCAGTCTCTGGAGAAGGATATCATGTTTGGAAAGGTGGAGGGTCAGAGAAAAAGAGGAAGACCCCCAGCGAGATGGATTGGCAAAGTGGCAACATCAATGGGCTCAAGTGTGGCAACAATTGTGAGGTTGGCCCAGGACCAGGCAGTGTTTTATTCTGTTGTGCACAGTGTCACTATGAGTTGATACCAACTTGATGTCACCTAACAGCAACAGTGATGAGAGCAGGTAGAGCCTCCTATGCTGGGTGTGCTTCTCTCCCCCACCTTGGATCCACTCCATGCCCTCTCTTCCCCATGTTTGTGTTTGAGGCTGACCTTTATGGATTAAATTCTAGGGTTCCCTTCACCTCTGGCTTCCAGTTTGGCTAGTGAGAGGCATTTACAGAAGAGTGAAGAATGAGAGGGGAAAGAGGTCAGGGTACTTCTTACCACTACTGGCACCTTGATGTGACGTGGTTCTGTCACTGGCTGTTTCTTTCCCAGTAGTAGCTCCTGTTTTGCTGATCCCTCTATAGGACTCCAGCTCCCTTCCTTTACCCTGACAAATTTAAGGGTGATAATTTTTTCTGACTGTTGCTAATCCCTGTGTTGATTCCCTGTACCCAACCCACACTTTTGTAAATTGTACCTTCACTTAATTCTTTTCAGTTAAAATCTTTGTATGTGCCATGTTTTTCTCTTGGGAAGGATCTTGACTGATGCAATCATACAAAGTTATAATGTTTCCACTTGAAAAATCCCAGGACCTTTCCTGTTAGAAATATTCTGTTATGGTGCTGTTGGATAAGCACTGGACTTCTAACCGCAAGGTTGGTGGTTCAAACCCACTAGCCGCTCCTCGGAAACCATATACACGGTCACTATGAGTCAGATGACTCTATGGCACTTAACAACAACAATAGTCTCCTAGAAGGTGTCTGTATCCACTTTGTACACCTAGAACTACTTAAAAAAAAAAAAAAAAAAAATCCAGGATCAGAATAATACAAGACAAGAACTCCTCTAAACCAGGAACATTGATTGACCTGAGCATCCTTTAGCCCTTACTTAGGCCAGCCCTTGGAATATTGTAGGTGTTCAATAAGTGTTCAGCTACAGAGGCAGCACCCTTAGACAACAACAGCCTCTATCCTCAGCTCCCGTCCTCCTTCTTCCCTCCCTGATAACACCTGCTGAGCTGCTGGCACCTGTAGGATCTGGACAACCATGCAGGGCAGCGATGTGCTGGATAGAAGGAAGTTCATCCGCGTGATTTCTGCAGTACCCAGAAAGGATGGGTACAGTATGTCCTGTGGTGAAAAGCTTGTGAAGAAGGAATGCAGGTTTTAGTTTCACCCCCACATTGCTGCTCTTCCTATTTGAGAATTGTCGCTTTCCCCCATCACCACTCACACACAAAAGCTTTGAAATATTTTATTTTGAGAAATGGGATTACAGTCTATGTAACAATGAGGCATTAGGAGGTGGCACATGAATCGCCCTTCTATGTCTTATACATTGAGTGCTTCTCCAAGTCCCTGTAGAGGAATTATTATTCAGTCTACTGTAGTCAGCCACGAGGCATGTATTGCTTCAGAAACATTTGCATCTGGGTAGGCCTGATTTTTAAATATTCTTGGTGGGAAGCACTTTGAACCAAAACGCACACTAAAAGGCAATCGCCATGGAGACTGGGCCTCCTCTGTGCTTTTCTCTTAGAGTTCTCTTCCCTGGGGCGGCTCAGCACTCACCAGGGTGTCCTTTGCGTGCTGCTTTGGGGTGGGTACGGGAGGGGCTGGGCACAGCGTGGAGGGTAGTCCAGTTGGAAACTGAACCATCGCCCTTGATTGAAAGGTGGAGATGGCTGCCCGTGTGGAACACAGTTTATGTGAAGGGGGCGCGGGGAGTTCCAAGAGTGTGCAGACCCCACCTCAACAGCCTAGGCTGGGGACCACGTGCAGGAACAGCGCTTGGGGGCCCTTGGCGCGCAGCCGCGGTGGGAGACTGCGCCGCGTCCTGGCGGCCCAGAGTACCCGGCGTCTGTCTCTGTGTGTGCTTGTCTGGGGGGCTGTGCCGCCCTGCTCCCCATATGAGAGTGTGTGTGGTCTCGGCTAAGCGTCCTGCCGAGTGGTGGAACGCGCGCGCGCCCTTGTGGGTTGTGTGTGTGTGAGTGTATGACAGTGTGTGTCAGGTGACTTGGGTCACGCAGTCTCTCCCTCTCCCTTCTCAGGGAGGAACTGCCGCGCTCCGGCTGACTCCTCCGCCGGCGGGCGGGGCGGGGGAGGGGGCTCGGCGCGCTGGGAACTGCCGGACCCAGACCTGGGCGCCGCCCGCCGCGTGGGACGCGCGTCCCCCACCAAGCTCCAGACAAAACCCAAATTGAGAGCTAGGTTGCGGGCTGCAGGCAAGAAGGCTTCGCACCACCCCTGGGACCCCCGCTGCTCCTGGGACAGCCAGCCGGTGGGCGCGATGAGCCAGGTGCTGGGGAAGCCGCAGCCGGAAGACGAGGACGACGACGAGGAGGAGGAAGATGAGCTAGTGGGGCTAGCGAACTACGGGGACGGGCCCGACTCCTCGGACGCCGACCCGGACAGCGGGGCGGAGGAGGGAGGTGAGCGCCCGATCTCCCGCCCGCGCCCGGCCCGTGCGTCCTCAGCCAGTCCCCCTTCCCTTCCCTCGGCCTCTTCCCGCCCCCAGCCGGCCGGGCGCGCGGGTCGCGGACTTGGAGGGGCTCCAGAGGAGCGGAGTTGCGGGGTGGGGGCGGGGCACCAGAGGAGCGACCGCGAGCTACAAAATGGGGGAGCCTGGATTCGGAGGGGAGACTGGGATGGGTGGAGAGGAGGAGGAAGGGAGGGAGGAAGCGTTTGGGCTGGAGGGACGCACGTTCAGTGGCCTCCCTTACCCCTGTCCTGCAGCTGCCCGCAGGGACTGCGGGTTGGGGAAGAGAGGTAACCTCTCGGAGTGCCCTGAGGCCACTCCCTGTATGCTGCGGTTGAAGCCGGGGTCAGATGTCGTTGCTAAAAAAGGCAGCCGGCAGCAGCGTGACTAGCTGGGTCGTCCGCAGCTGCGGGTGTCAGTCTTGTCCATATCGCCCCGGGGGTGGGGGTCTTAGGATCGCCTATGTCCGTGGCTTGGGGGGAATCTGCGGGACGGCAGGGGTAAGGGAAAAAGTGTGCGCAGGTGAGCCTGGAGTCTCCGGGTGACCACGGATTTCCTGGGATCCGGGCAGATACGGTTGTTAGGACACCTTATCTGCACTCGGTGCCACCACCTGGACATGGCAGTGCCTGTCCAGGAGTGAGCACCGGGCGGGGGAACACATTGCCACTGAGAAGCAAACTCTTGTTTCTTGTTCAAGAAGCGTAATCTAGCCATCATTCATTCACCCTGTCGGCTCTTGTTTTACTCTTAAGGTTTTTAAGAACCTTTTAGGATTCCAGAAAGGTTACTCTTTTTTATTTCCTTCAAAGTCAAGGAAAAGGCCTTTAATCGTATGGTCACTTGAAAAGGTCAGAAAAATACTGCTCTTAAACCTGACTTATCAGTGAAATTTTATGCATTCTAGAAATGAAACTTTAAAAATAGTTCACATTGAAGAAATTGTGTGAAAGATAACAAGTATTTTTGTAACTGTTGGTTTTTAAGAACTTTGGTGGAGAATTCATTGAACTTATATAACATTCTCTACACAAGGACCATTTCCTTTTTATTATTTTACCTAGGGTAGGCTTTACTCTCTATGAATCAGCAAGGGAGATGAGGGAGAAGTAGCTTTCAAGTCATCCTTTTTTCATATTGGCCTGTCTCTCGGGAGAGTTTGTTCTAATTCTCCATTTGCTTAAACTGGTGTTGCACCTGTGTACTTCACTCTTCTGCATTCTCTGTAATTGGTCCCACAGTTGAGCACGCAGGCCACATTTTTGTAGATAGACCCTTTCAACCCTGTTATTAGAGTCTCTAGGGCTACCTTTCATAATGAAATTGTTCGGGCACTTCATTATTATTCAAATTGTATTCATTAGTTGCTCCCAGAACTTTGGGCACTCCAGAGAGATTCAGAATGGGCATATATTTGCAAAAGTATTTGAAAGGTAGATACACAATACGTGAATGTGTGATACTCTTTAAAGGAAGAGAGAGAAAAAGAAAGAAAAGAGAAAAAAGAAACCATCTCTGGAAGGAAATGCCTTGTAGTTTAATATTGTCATGGGACACAGAGGGATTCCTGGAAAAGCACAGGACCTGCTTGTTTATCCTGCAGTTCCTTAAAAGGGACACTTAGAAAATTCATTTGGGGATCTTGAAATTGAAGTGTAAAGCCCTGCCTGAGGTGTGGGATTGGATTTCCTGAACAAAGGGCTTCCCCAGAGCCTCATCTTGGAGGCCTCACTGCTACTAACCTAAAGCAAACCTGGCTGTAACTGATGCTTTCGATTACTTTTGCGTGAGTTCTCAGAACCAACCTGAGATCTTGCTGTAAAAGGATTGAGTATATTTACATAGAAGGAAGAGTATTTATTTTTCAGTTTCTTTGGCAGACACTACTTAAACTTGGCCTCTTCTCCCCCTAGACTTGCTGTGTTTGCTTAGGTGGTCTGTTTCTCAGAAGGCATCCTCCATTGTCTCTTGGCTTCTGGTCTTTTCATGTTTCCTTGACTTTGCTTTTGGAGTTTTAGGTCTTGATGCACAATTTCTATCAGAACATATGCTTTCTTAACTAACAGAACCCACAATCAGTGTTCCAGCAAGGACTGTTTCTAACAACTGTAATGCTGAGTGATTATGGTCCTGGGGAGTTGTGACTTCCAATACCTTTGCTTTCAGAGGCTTGGTTCTTGGAGCTCTATGGTGCTGCTGAAGAGTCATCTTGATTTCTAATGGGCCCAGGGCACATGTTGTATTAGTATTATAATTCTGTTTTACTTTTGGTAAACTTCACACTTTGAAACTTAAAAAATGTAACTTACTGATTTTGAGGAAAGAAGGATCTGAGGGCACTTTGAACCACGAGCAAAGCATTATAAACTTCTTGGTTTGGAGTCCTGGTATGATGCTGTAGGATAAGCACTGGACTGCTAACCTCAAAGCCAGTGGTTAAAACCCACCAGTTGCTCCTTAGAAACCTTATACAGGGTTGCTATGTGTCAGAACTGACTCGATGGCACAACAGCAAGCCTCATGGTTTAGTGTCTGTGCTCAGTAAGGATCTGAGACTTTCCATGAGGTTCAGAAATTCATCCTGGCAGGTGGGATGCAGGACTGAGTAGCTTTGCCAAGTAAATTGCAAAGCAAGTTTCCAGGCACTATAAAAGTTTAGAGGTGGATAACACGATTGTCACTCTTATAAAGGGCCAAGATCTTATTTTTAAATGTTGTTGTTAAGTGCTGTCGAGTCGGTTCCGACCCATAGCGACCCTGAACAGGGTTTCCAAGGCTGTAAATCTTTATGGGAGCAGAAAGCCTCATCTTTCTCCCTTGGAGCAGCTGGTAGTTTCAAACTGTTGACCTTGCGGTTCACAGCCCGATTCATAACCACTACGCTACCAGAGCTCCTTTTAAATAGAGTACTTTTAACATGTGTTGCAGCAAAGGTGAGACTTAAATTGCACTTCTCTGTCTTTGACTCCAAATGTATGCACAAGTAACAGTGTTTTTAGGCACTTCAGTTTACTTGAGCACACACTCCCTGTCATGGTAGTAAATCAGCCTCCATGCTTCAGATAAAACAACTCATCTAGGGAGCAATGGTACAACAATTGTACCAAAGATAATGATTTTTTTAAAGACAGATGGACTGTAAAACTTGAGAAAACTATTGTGCTCTAAAAGCTGTAATAGCAAGGAAAACAAAGAAAAGATCTTATATAATAAGAAATTAAAAAATTTCCCCCCAAAGTCCCTTCCAGTTTTCAGAGGAAACTTGGCTAAGAGAGCTTGCTCACTTGAAATCTAGTTAAGCATAGTCCTTAGATCCATGGCATCCTGCACACCCAGTTAGGATGTGAGGAAGTGACACATTAGGTCATTACTGAAGGCAGATCCAGTGAAGCAAATCCAGGAGGTCAGCTTGTGCCACTGTCCTGATCCATGTAGATGGGGTGAATCCAGCAATTTACATTTATTTATTGTTGTTGTTAAGTAGCTCTGGTAGAGTGGTGGTTACAAATCGGTTTGCGAACCTTAAGGTCAGCAGTTCCAAACTACCACCTGTTCCGTGGGAGAAAGATGAGGCTTTCTGCTCCTGTAAAGATTTACAGCCTCAGAAACCCTGAGCCAGTTCCTACTCCATGGCACATAACCACCATTGTTGTTGTTAAGTGCCAGCTTCCAACTCATAGCGACCCTTTGTAGGGTTTCCGAGGAGCAGCTGGTGAGCTTGAACCACCAAATTTGCGGTTCAAACCAATCTTTATTTCCTTAAAATAATCTAAAAATAATTCCTCACAGAATCTTCTCATCTGTCAAGAGTAAGTAGAGATAACTGTTCTCCTGATACTGAAACTGGCTGAGAGATGCCAGGGGATTTTTCTAAGGCCCCATCAGGAGCAAGGTTTAGGAGAGGGTCAAATACATGATGTATGGAAATATAAACCCCTTCCCTTGTGATTCAGTCTTGTCCAAAAAGAATTGGCTTGACAACAGTCCTGGCTACAGCTAACTTCTTCAGTTTCCATCTGACACTGAAAAAAGAGATGGAAATGCAGAATAGTTGAGGAATGATTTGGCCAAGGTCATGCCATAAACACTGAGCTTATTCAAATAAATATACTGAGGGGGCATATTTTTATGTAGGAGTCCTAGTGTGGCGCTGTAGGATAAGCACTCAACTACTAAATCGGTTTGAACCGCATGGTTGGTGGTTCAAACTCACCAGCAGCTCCTCAGAAACCCTGTACAGGTTTTCACTTCCTACCACTGGTATCTCTTTCTTGCTCATTTTTCTTACTTTATTTCTGCTTTTGTATCCCATACCATTTATTTTGAAACCTCTTTTATTTTCCCTCTCTGCCAAACTCTGAAAAAAATTTTTGTGACGGTGGCTTTCCCCGGCTCTCCTGCAGTACTAAAACACCTTATGCCTGCCCTAATGTGTTCTGGTCAACTTTCTCAAAGACCTCTGGGGAGGACTCCAGTTTAGTTTTCCAGATCTGTAAAATGCTGTAATATGAAGTTGATTCTGACTCCTAGTGACCCATGTGACAGAATAGAACTGCCCTGTAGGGTTTCCTAGGCGGAAATCTTTATGGAAGCAGATTGCTAGGTCTTTACTCTCACAGAGCTGCTTGTGGATTTGAACCAAAAACCTTCAGTTAGCAGCCTAGCACTTAACCATTGAGCCATCTAGTACATATAAGCAACTTTCATCTGCTCTTTTTCTGGATATTTTTTTTTGGTTTTGTTGAGAAGACACACAGCAAACAATTCAACACTTTCTACATGTACAATTGAGTACCTTCTTCAAATTGTGTAACTATTCTCAGCCTCCTTTTCTGAGCTGTTCCACCTTCACTAACATAAGTGCACACTGCCCCCTAAAGGTTTCCATTCAATCTTTTAAGCTGCTATTGTCAATTTAATCTCATATAGATCTTTTTTTTTTTTTTGGTACTG